AACAGTCCTTCTCAGGACTACACTCACCCGAACGATCAAACTACACTATTAAATGATAGATTTAACTGCGTGGTTGTGAGGGTGAAATGTGAGCGGTGAACGGAATGCGATCAGTGTTTTCCTTCCTTCCGAAGAAAGATTGGAAAATTTGGTGTTATGATTGAATTTAAGTTTGTTAATATCGTGGCGATGTTTTTTGATGAAAAAATCTAAAGATGCGAATTCGCCCTCAGGGGGAGTCCATTTAGACTATCGAATGTGAAGTGTTTCTAAAGTATCTTTATTCGAGATGTTAGAATCATCCTGCTTGTCGTAAAAAAAGGCTTTCAATTGAACGCGGCGAAGGAATTTTTTAATTTCTTGCTTAACTGAAACTTCGTCGGTTTTTCCTAATAGGAACAAAATTATAGCCCTCACTGAGAACTGATTTTTCTGAATCGGAAAGTAGTAAATCTCCTGGAATGTCTGTCCAATTCTCTGACGAAGGGCTAACGCTCGGAACGTCAGCTTTTTTACTCTTTAGGTGGCCAATTTACGTTTTCAACCCACTTGTTAACACTAAATTACCTGCTATACTCTCCCACCGACGCAGCACCACAGTTTCTTTAGAAACCTACCCCCTTTATTTATTCGTACGACAAACGGCTAAGAAGGAAAATACTAATCTCATTCCATTCACCGCTCGCATTTCACTCTTACAACCACGCAGTTAAGTCTATCAGTCTTGAAAAATTTAAATTACTCCAAAACGATTCAGAGACTGGTACTATCTTTCGCAACTACCACTAATTTCATTTAAACGTGATAACAAAATAGGCAACTTTTTGGTCAGAAGTTAATTTCAAACCAATGACCAATCTGGAACTTTCAAACGCGCGCGGTCGCTCACGATGCAAAACTTGTCGTTTCATTCATAACGTAGAGACAGTGTCGGAACCCAAGAGATCCATTAACATCACTGATCGCTTCACGAGCACCTCCACCAATGTCACTTACTGCATAACTTGTACTTATTGTAAAAAGTTATATATTGAAAGAAGTGACGAGGATGCATCTAAGCCAGTCGCTAGACACTTTAATCTCCCTAATTATTCGAAGCAGCATATGGTGGTTTGTGGCCATTCCCAACATCTAGGCAGTTCGGAAAGCCGCAAAACTCTAGAGCAAAAATTTAGCTCCCAAATTAGCACTCTTAATCCCCACAGTATTAACGAGCGCTTTTCATTCTACTAATTTATTCTAGTTTTCTCGTCACCATATTCCCAGCAATACCATTTTCTGCATAGAAACCCACACACATCCTACAATTCCTCCAATTGCTCTGACGAAGGGCTAACACTAGAAATGTCAGCCTCATAACTCTTTACTGTAGCCAATTTACGTTGTCAACTTAGTTGATACTACCAAATTATCCTGAATCTTTTTTAATGGTTAGGCCATGCAATTTTGTGCGACTTTAGCACTGACAATGTGGTCAGATATATCTGAAATATCAATATATTATCAAGATATTTCATATATATATCTGAAGTATCAAGCTAAAGACTAAAAACTGGAAAAAGCTGAAACAAAATAAGCACGATGGATGACGACAAGAGACAATAGGCTACTCATGTTCTCCAGTATAGGATAGATCGCATTGAGATGCTGATAAATTGTAACTTTTATAAAAGGTTGTCTTTTCCAAGTTTATCTTAATTTCAATGAAGATCTAACTTGCGATACTGAAAAATTATTTTGGTTAGTACGTGAAAGTTACTTTATTAACTGATAGGATGATTGATCTACCTTTCAATTCAAAGTTTATCAATGATCGCACATGTCTCAATGAACCAGAAAAGAGGTCGCATATGAATTGCCTAAGATTTCATGATCTATCTCATTTAATTCCCTCGCATACAATTTCTTTGTTTGAATTTTTCGAAAGTATTTATTTGCATGTTATAATTCCTTTTTCAGCTTATCCTCGGAATGATTGAAAGCGATCTCCTCTTTCCGTGGCTGGATCCTAACATTCACGCCATGAGAGACCACTTGAGGTATCTCCATAACTGCCAAGCGATGAGCAAAGCGAGAAAATTCACCCACTTTGTCCAGAGACACCCTGTGGCTTCAGTCTTCCTGGGCACCTTCATGATAACTGGTTTTCTTCCGTTCTTTTTGTTCCTCGCCTTCGTCGTAGGATCTTCAGTATTTGTACTGTTCTCTATTCTTCTGTTTCAAGGCGGGGCTCTTGCGATAGGCTTATTGTCTCTCCTGGGAGTTTTTGTCCCGATCGTGCTATTTGGAACTAAAATAGCAGCCCTTGTCTACATCTTCTACATCATCACCGCAACAGGTCTGAGAGCAATACACGTTTTTACCGGCACGATCGTGTGGGTACCGTCAACGATTTTCAAAGCCGTGAACCAAAGATTTCACGACACTTTTCCATCTCTGGGGGACGAAATACGATTAGATATCCCGCATCGACGTCGCTCTAGTTCATTTATGCAATAATATGGATAGTCCAAAACTTGGTGAGGCAAAACGACGCGCACACGTCTTTTAGGTTTGATGTTACAGAGCCATCGCAGATGATACCAGAGAATAAACTAATAATTTGCTGAAGCTGCTTCCACCAGTAAATCTCACTTTACAAATCACTCTCCCTATAAAACAGAAACGCTTTTTTTCGGCCAGGGAAAATTAAACTGCACAAAGCATAACGTCTTAAAAAAGATAGAAGAAATTAAGATAGCTAAAGGGAACTCAGACAAATCGAGCGAAGGCCTGATAGCTGAGGTCTCTAAAAGATCGTTAGACTTTCACCGATTACAGTGCCCAGCGCTGCAGAGCCATCAACAAAGATTTCACTCAATTCCTTTTTCCCTCAAAGTTGAAGAAAATGCTATTAACTACGGTGCGGTTTCTCATTTGAAAAATTTTTGGCTAGAGAATGTAGTATTGCCCAAGTGAAGCAAGAAATTTGGAATAATCCAGAAAAAACCAAATGGGCTTGTAAATCCTACAACATTGGTTTAAAGTTTTAAAATTTCTCAAAATTCAATATGGATGATTCAGAATTAATGCGTATGAGATAGGGATGATTCAGAATTAATGCACATGAGTAAACCCAATCAGGAAATATGATACAAATCCTCTCAATCCTCAGGGTTATTTAGGTTCCCGTACTGCAGGGCTTGGTGAGTAGTGAGATTTTCTTTAAGACCAAAGCTGTAAACCAACACATCTTCGAAATATATGTCGACGTCATCGTCTGAAGAAGACAAGTAGTTGTTGATAAATACTTTGTAAGCCAAAAGATTGTACTTCATATGATGTCCCTTAACCCTTTACATCCTAAGATCAGTATGCATTTTCTCCATACATTTTTAGAGGCTGACAGGGAGAATTTCTTATACAATCAAGAGGTGCTTTAGTTGGTGATCATCTCCTCTATTCTCATGACTTCTATTTTTGATTCAGGGGCGATATAGTGAGGAGAAATTAGATGTTAGTCACTCTTAGGGGCTAAAGGATTAACAAGGGAATAAACCTCTCCAGTACCAACGGATGCTTCGTACTTTACTTCTCTAAGACACTTTAATAAATATTTCTTCTCGATAAATCCATATTTACAAAACGCATCTCAATCGATAACAACTGAATCAACGGCCGATCTCTTTGGCTGGGGGGGACACGGAGGGGAAACCATATCACGACTTCGCTTTCCGAGTATTTGCCGTTGCACGTCCCGATCATCTTCGGAAACGGCGTTTTTCGTGTGAATCTCATTTAACATATGTTGAGGAACTAACACAGGAGTGTGGCCGTCTGAACTACCCCCCGTGGATGCTATCAGACGCTTGGCATCCTCTATCGTAGGGACGAGTACCACGAGCCCCTGGGGAATGTTTTGTTCGCTACTTCGTGACGATCGTCTCGACAGAATGATCGGTTTTTTTGTTGGAGACGTGATTTTTTGAGGCGTAACTGAGCTTTCAGCGTTATTAGGTAAAGAGATAACGGCCATGGGTGGGGCCTGGGAGGCCGTCATGTGACAAGTTGAGGACAAAACTGGAGACTTTTCAGGGGCATGCTCCAGTTTGGAAACTACCGCTGCCAACGACACAGGCTCAGTCGAATTGTTCAGTGCAGAACTAATAGCTTCAGTCTTAGGTGAAATGAACGGCATACCGACATCTGAATTTAGGGGGCTTGTTCCTGTATATCTCCTATTGGGTGAAGAAAGGCCGTTTGCATCGACCCGCGTGTCTGTTTGTTTGTTTTTCTCCGGCAAAGACGTAAGCGAGACGTAGCCAAGAGAATCACTAGAAACTCGAATTGGTTGTGATTTGTCATCAAATATATTACACGATCCTTCGGTTCTACATTCCTCCAAAACTCTTTTTCCGTCTGGAGCACCGCTTGGCTGTTCGGGTGGTACATGTGACCGGGCTGAAGACACGGTATCAGTTTCCTCGCGCGTTACTGAAGATGACACGACCCTCTCGACCAATAAGCTTTCGGTTAACGTTTTTGTTTTCTCCTTCGCGTCCTCCTCTTTTTCAGGGCGATCAGTCGCTGATGCTGGTGGGCTGTCATAAGAGTAGCTACTGGATGGAACCACTAGGAACTCTGGCTCAAGGGTAGCAGCCAGAACAGGAGCAGGCACTCTCATCAACTCTAAGTGATCTCTGAGCACAGTTTTTACTGAAAGACGGAAAAATAAAGCAAACTTCAATAGCTGCATGGGGCGCTTCTCGATTGACTGTCGTAAAACTAAAACCTGGCCAATCAAAAAAAGGAAAACCGTAAAGAGCCAATGAGGACTCAAACTTAAAACAGGTCAACCACCTAAAGCGCGAGAAAACGCGGGCGACCAGGTCGCGATACGCGTTATTTTTTCATCTGATTGGTTGAGAGAGTGGCGGGAATTCTCTAAACCAATCACAGAGCAAAGTAACGCAATTCCGGATTACTTTTGACACTCAACTTAAAGTTGCTCTGATCACATATTACCAACGAGATCTGAAATTTAAGTATTTAGGCTTCGCAGACTTCGGCTCTAGCATAGTTGTTTAAAGTTTAACTAATGTTATCCACCACATAAATCACTATCCGCTTGATATCATACATTGATCTGCGAAGCGTTATTTGTAAAATAGTGATATATTAGGCAGTAACAGTTAACCAACCAATCACAGCCAGGTCAGTAAAAACAGCTGCAGTAACAACACCATGCTCGAGATTGGTTAGTCATCAAGGTGGATATTGTTAACCCTTGAACTCCCAAGATCTGATTGTCAATTCTCCCCTCTAGCTGTCGCACATTTCCTTGTAAATAAGTTACGAGAATTTGGTGTTAGATCTAGATAACAACTTCTATCTGATACATTTGAGTATTCTCATTACCTGTTTGCTGGATAGTGTGTGGATATTGTAGGGAGAAGTTACTTGTTAATCACCTCTGAGAGTTAAGGGGTTAAAATAATAACTCAACGTATATATTTAAAGCAGGTATTACCTGAAGAGTTCTTTTCTTGAAATGCTGCTGTCAGAGATTCAGAGGATATCACCTTAGCGGGACTCATGCTTTGCTTGCGATGTCTTCGTGAAAACTTGTGGAAAGAGACAGCACCACCTCCATATGGGATGTTAAGGTGATCACCTGTCATTGCATAACCAACAGGGACACCACGAGACATGGACGAAAGTGTGGTAGACCTGCGGGAGCAACCAACTTCATCATCAACCGTTTGCAAGACATCAATTACCTGAAGTAACTGGTGTGCCATTGGAGAAGTTGAAGCAGACTCTTTCCTTGAAGAACTTCCATCCTTGCTTGAGCTGTTTTTGCTCTCCTCTTGACTCGGTGCACTTTTACTGGTAGGACTGGATTGAGGTAGGCTTGTTGAAACATTTGTTGGTTCCGTTACCACCACACTGCTGGGAGACATGCTCACCGCATGAAGTGGAGGTGGAGGCACATCTGGACCTACTTGGATGATAGCTCTGGCAGGAGAGGCATGACATTGGGAATGAAATGCCTGTGGAACATGATGGACATTTGCACGGGAAAGGCATGTTGAGCAGTGACAATGCACTGGGACTTGATGCATAACACATGGCACTTGGCCATGCTCATGTGATGTTGCACAGTCTGATGGAGTGGCAGCTTGATTCCCTAACGACAAACTTGACTTGCTCAACGTGTATACCTTAGGCCCCTCACTGTCATGAACAATCACCTTCTGTTCATCAGATGTTACAGTGGGAGGAACCCATAATGGTTGAGACCTACTCACTCCTGCTGTAGCTGCTGCACTCTGTGGCTGTGGTATTGCCAATCCAGTGGCACTACCTTCTGTCAAAGTGCTAACAGTTCTTTGGGCTAGGTCAACTTGATCCTGAAGAATGTTCAGGGTGTCAGAGGCGTGCTTCATTTGGTTTCGAAGAAGACTAAGACACTGGTTTGCAAAAGAGACCTGATTTTTAAGAACAGTAATACTTTCTTTAGCATCCTGAACCTGACGCAATAGAGTTCCCTCTGGTGCTTTAGGTTCCTTCACAATACTGCTAGATTCACTCTGTGCATTAGCTGATGTGGAATAAGAGCTCTCAGTCACAGGAGCTGACTCCATGATCATATGAGATCAGCTTCATACACAACTGGAAAGAAGAGAAAAACAGGTTTGGGTCAATTCTAAGTAATCAGTGTAATAGAGAAGAAATGAATTGCAAGTAAAAGTGAGTGGCATATCATCACCTAAAAATTTTCAACCTGATTTATAACCAAACAAAGATCAGACCAAATGAATAAAGGGGTACATTTTCAAACAAACTGTTGTGTCAGTGGAGGTATTACAAGATATTTTTATTTTATCAACTGAGTTGATAATGTGCATTGGCCTCTGTAAAGAGTTGCCTAAGCTGATGTTTTGAGCATTAGCCCTTTTTCAGAGTTCTGACAGCTACAAAGCTAACCCTATGCTACCAGCATTTCAAAATACCAACAATTCCCTTTAAACAACTTACTTCTTCTTGGAAGGGTTCGAATTAAACATTAAGTTTATTTTGCAACCTGACCCAATGAAATAAAAAATTAAATTCTGCATTGTAACTTCACCAGTGTGTCACTTTGAATTAAGTATTACCATACTCCATAAAGGCTTTCTACATATACCTAATTGCCATAACGTTGCCATAGAAGAGGCAAAACAAAAAGGAAAAAAGCCAAAAGGGATCCTATTGGTACATAAAATTAACCCTTTGTTACATGATGTATATCACAGAATTTCCACCTAAAAAATCATCTTAAATCTTTGGAGAATCAGATGTCTATTTAACCATTTCAAGTGATTCCAAACATTAAAAAAAAAAAAAAAAGAATTGAAATGCCAATGTGTTTGTTTGTTCTATATGATAATTAAATCATTAATGGCTTTTTTCTTTGCTTTGTTTTTTCTATGACAACATTACTGCAATTAGGTTATGAACCAAATAATTATTCTAATTGTTATATCATCCTTATAAAATATGTCCTCATTAAATTTGGATCTCTTATACATTTATTTCTAAGCACTGAGACACTAAGAGAAAATAACTCAATCAACACTATAAAATCTATAAAAGACCTCCATAGAGAATTTATGTTAAAAATATAAGAACACAATATTTCCATTTTGTGCACCTCCTCAAGAATATACATTCATACAGCCTTTTGTGAGTTAATGAGGCATTGTTTAAGACTTGATCAATTAAGGCTTCGAGTGTGAAATAACCTGTTATAGGCAGGGTTAATTTTTGAATAACAGCCCATGTTGGTGGAATGTTGGATACAAATAGTTAAAGAGATTTAAAAAGAAAAATTAAAGATTTTTGTGAACATAACAGAGAAACCTATACATGTATCATTTGTAATTGATAGAACTTGAGGCACTAATACAATAAATTAATTTAAATTTGAGGCTTTTGCCAATTTCAAACAAAATCCAAAAATGAAACAAATGATACCATCAATATTGCTATGGTCAACTGAAGAGAACTTAAATATATATATATTTATATATATATATATATATATATATATATATTAAACAAATAAAAAACACGCCTAGTGCATTGTTGAGTTATATAAGCATGCAGGAATTTTTAAGAGCTGAGAAGCACAAGCCGAAGGCCAGTGCTTCTTGCACTTCTTGTGTGTTCTTAAAAATTCCCAAGTGCTTATATAACTCAACAATGCTCAAGGAACAAGTTTTTCTTTTTCTTTTCTAAAATGTATTGTGAATTGCACATGCTCATACTAATGACATAAGCTGCATGCATTATATCTCAAAAGTGCACTCCTGTAAGGCGCATGCTTTATGGAAATATAATGAACTAGTTCTCACCAATCATGGCATGCACATTTCTCTGAACATTTTATAAATAAATATATATCTATATTGCAATTACACAAACAATAGAGCAGGGGGGAAGGAGCAAGAGAAAGTTTTAGATTCAGTCAAGAAGTATTTTTTTCATTGCCTATTTCATCAGCCATAAGACTTTGTTTGAGAAACTTTCTAGTACTTATGAATCATCATCAATTGATTACAGACACACTGGACACTGCCAAGATTGCAAGAAGCATTGCTTATACCAACAAACCACAGAACAGATATTTGAGAAATTATGAAGGGCTGTGTACTTTGCTTCGTGTATGATCTGCCCCCCCTCCCCCACCCACCCCAGCCATTTCCAAACAATTTCTCACTTCTGATCATCAATCATCATTCTACACTGTATTACTGAGTTTCACTGTACACATAATTTGCTTAACAAGCATTAGCACATTATCATAGTTCTGGCAAGGCTGTTAATGAGAGGAACACTTTTATCAACAAGTTTTGTTGGAACTGAAATAATTCACCAGAGTTCTGAGTGGCTGAAAAACATATCATTAATTGTAGGAGTAAATCAATAGAAAACTACAGCTTATAAAGTTATTGTTTGAAAGCAATAGACTGCACTTTTCATGTTCATCCAACAAAGCAACCTCCTTGGAATGCTAGGAGAACACCCAAAAAAATTGTTAATTACTCAACACCTGCCTTTGACTTGTGTTCTCCCTACATCCCTTAAAGGTTTTTAAGCTGCTTACATAATAGAGAGTGCAGTCTATGGTCTAAGTTTAATCGATTTACATTTTTTATCCACTGGACAGAAGTTTATCCACGAAGAGCATCATCCAACATTTAAAACAAAAATGTAAGCTTCATAAGAACACAAACGTAATGAAAGCAATAATTTAATTTTGCCCATATCTTTATCTTTTCCATAGTGTTGAGGAAACATAACACCAGAAGCTGTTTTATGCATTTGAGACAGACCTAGATTTTATGTGTGTAAAAAAGCTGACCTTTGATTTGTCTTATTCAGTGTAGTCACAGGACACTCCAATGATTTATCTTAGTGAATAGGAAAAAAAATGTATTTATGAGTAATGATCAAAGGTGAATTTAAATCAATCAGAAAATTGCAAACAGCAAAAGATCTGTTTATGAGAAGTTTGAAATAAAAATTGCCACTCTATTTACACCAGTGTCCATATGTATAAATAACTTGAAAATATAATTTTCACGCGAATTCAGTAACTCGAGCACAAAGACATCAAACAAAAAATTATAGAATATTTGATACTCCGTAGGAACAAAGTTCCATAGACATCTATTTAAGAAAAAATTGTATTTGGTTTTTATAAAAACTTCTTTAATGTTGATCACCACATGCAGGGCAACCTTATACAAAATTTTCGATTTTTACAATAAACTGTAAAATACCACATGTGTCGACTGACTTACGAGTTTGAAACATGCGCTGAATTCTACGATCAAAAGTACGTGTCTCTACAACGAAACAACTCAACTATCTCGCAGTGCTGAATTAAGGTTTACGTACTCACTTGAATTAAGGCTTTTCTTTCGGACTTACACGAACAAATAAGCATGGTCACGCGGTTGAAAACAAAACCTTACACACGCCACGATTCGGTGAAAATAAAATCTACGCAAAAAAGTACATTGTTCTGTAAATTATAGTGGTGCTTCACACCGTAAATTGTAAATTTTTCGCACCTGTTGAGTAAGACTTCGACTGACGTACCAGCACCGAAAAAAAACAGCCCCTAATTCCCAAAAGATTAAGAAAAAAACACGATCGAACGAGAACCAATGTACTCGACTGCACACAATCGCAGCCCAAATTTTCCGCAGGCAATATTAAATTTCCCGGGAATATCACTCAACCCTGTAAAATACGATTTTTGGTTCGGAAGCGTTCAACCGATAAGTGATCTTTTAGAAAATCAATCGCAACAAGGACAATGAAGCAAATTCAATCGGACCGAATTCAACACACAAGAAGTGACAAACACGCAGTCTGTAGCTCGTACTCATCGGAAATTATAACTACCTTTCACGCGATGATTTTCCTTGCCAAGCTTCAAATTTACTTCCCTTTCGCGCCCGTCGACAAAGCTTTCACAAGTACACATCTAAAGATCGCAAACGCCGACGAGCGACGCAAGGTTTCGCATCCAAGGATGAAATCTTCGTTTAGGAATCGCCTCAATAGATGGGTCTTCGTTACTGCGAAGGCAATTAGAATATAAAGGGCATATTAGCCGCGGATTTCATTTTGCAATTAGGTGCCATTGTCTCACGAACCAATCGGAGAACGAAATGGGACAGGCGGCAGTCTCGTTTATTTCTTGGGCAGACCACTCGTTGATTCCAACCAATGATAAACAAGGAAACCACAATGAATGCCAATCAAGTCGTTTTAATCACGGGCTGTTAATGAGACACCCAGCCAATACCGAACTCGCTCGTTCATTAGCTTACCATGCTATCAGAGTTGATTTCTCAGAACATAACAACTTTGAATTGATCCAGATAGAGTTTCAACTTTTGATATCGAATGAATAGATGAGTGTTATTTTGCAGATGCAAAGGAAATCGTTAAAGATAACGAGCAAGACAAGTCGCTTATTAAAATCGCATCTCTGGAGAATTGTAATTAAATTCTTTTAATTGTTACAATATACTTCGCGGGAGATATACCTTAAGCTGGGGAACACCTGCACTATCTTCAGTAATAAACAGCAAAGTGATTCAGGAAAAATACTACTGTTCATACCATTGGTAGAGGCAAGAACACATGAGGAAATCAAAACTCTGTTTTTAGATTCTTTCAAAGTAAACAGTCTAATTTATTTAAACACATCAATTTTATACATTTGCATTTTCCTATTTGCGTTCCCATCCACCTTTGCGCCCGCAAATTTCGATATTCAGAAAGATTTCATTATAAGGAGCCTACTTCACATCCTCAAGCGAAAACTTCACCTCGTTTCGAGGAAAATGAGAGGAGGTCGGTATGATGGTTTGGTTTATCGAACGCCAATATGCTTCCTAAGAAATCACGCTTAATTTTTTGCTCTAAGAAAGTGTTAAAAGGAAAAAGGAAATGAAAACTTGTTGACAGTTTAAGAGCATATGCCCGGTCTTGCTTAACAGTCAGGTATGGAAAATAATCCATGGCAATCTGACAAGCAATGCGGGTAATCCGAATTCAGAAAATATACTAATTCCATTGGATTTTCCTCTGTTCCACTCAGAGATAAGTCTTTAGAAGCTGTATCACTTACATAACTTGTTCGCTACTATTGTTTTCCCGCTAATGAGAAAGTTTACATGTTCACCTTCAGTTCCTATTGGTTATTCGTGAAAATTGTCTTCGTTCGGTTTGGTTGCCGTGATTTCCTCGGTTTTAGTTTAAAGGTGTTATGAATCACTTAGTGGAAAATCGTTCTATTGACCCTAGACCGATGTGAATCGTCGTAGCAGCAGCAGGAAAACCTTTGAAGGATTCATATCCAGTTACGTTGCTAGAAATCAAATCTCCGTTGAGCTTTTCTCAGATTCTCTTTACTTCCGCTAATACACTAAAAGGAAGGCGTTGGTGTTCGTTGACTTCCATGGTAACAAGCCAAGTCGCCCGAAAGTCATCTCGTCCAAAGTCAAGTCGCCCGATGTAGAAATCGGGGGACATGAGTTAGGTTTTTGGGCGACCTGACTACAAGTTTCGGGCGACAGGACTTCGGGCGCGATGACTTTCGGGCTACTTGACCGCGTAAACCACTCCCACAGTACCTCTCTCTTCTCTTGTTCGCATTGTTGATAACTGTTGGGGGTAGGTTATCAAGGCAACCTCGGTAATTTTAGCATGGCACTTCAGGGGAGTGGGGGAGAACGGGCAAAGGAAAGAACTCTGTCTGCTTCCTGAGAGCTTGGAACATAGGCTAAGAAGTTCCTCTGGCGGATGGCCATTTCATACTATGAAATGAGAGGTAGCTTTCTCCGGGCTCTCGATAAGTAGAGACGCACGAGACACCCTGCTGTTAACCAGGGATCTGAACGTGTACGTGACTTTCAGGAAGCTTGGAACCTAAAATATAATCTTCACTGAAACATTCTCGTGAGAGTCGCCGAGCTGAACAATTTATGCACTGATCTACAAAATCCTTGCGAGGTTGTAAAATATCATGTCTAGATATCATAATCGTAATAATTTTCCTTTCCCCCCACACGAAACCACCCTTAGAAAAAGTATGTTTACGTAAACAAAGTAGGAAACTGGCAAAAGGTTTAGAGAGTTTTACGACAGTTGTTTCAATAAGACTTGAAGCGAGACACGTGCAACTCAAGTGTAATTGAAATTAGTTTTAGCTTTTCAGGCAATTCACGGTTAGCGCCACTGTATGTTGGTGATTTAATTAGTGTTAAATCGAAGTCGTCTTTCAATTTTAGATGCAATGGCACCTTTTTACTGGAGCCACCTAAAGAGAAAATCCTTTTTACGCTTGCTGCTATATCCTATTATCCCGCTACAACATGTATATTGAATAGTTTGCCCGCTAAATTGCGTGCAATCCCATCATTGACAATTGCTAAACCCAAGAACTACCCTTTTGGTTGGGTTTTTCTTTAACCGTATTAGATCAGAAATTTTATTTTATTTCAGTTTTTTAGTATTATTTAATCTGAATTATTTTATTTATTGTAAGTATCATTTACATTTTACATGGTATACTTAGATTGTTGTAGAATAGTTTTGTAGGTGAATCATTGTAAAGCACTAATGATCATTTCTGCGTAAATAGCGCTATAGAAGTAATCGAATTATCAAATCATTGAATAATCATTTTATCTTTACTAGAGAAAATTAGCAGCCAAACAGATGTTTAGACAGTCACTTTTCCTTTTCCAGCGAAGTCCCGTGCGTATCCTTTTCTATGGCAACTCCTTATTTGTTTACTGGTCTTATCGTGACAGGTTAACTGTCACGCAAGAAGATTGAAGAGTTACGCCGACGTGACAAGGTACGGGGCTTTCCTCGAGTGGTATGTCAAAGCGGGAGATGTTGCTCAATAACTTATTTACCTCACAGAAAAGAAATATAATTAAAATCTTTTGTTTCCCTTTCGTGAAACCGGAATTGAACAGCTGATATGCAAATGACAAACAAACCACAACAGGTGTCCAAAGATAGCCAAGAAAGTCATTACCTCAGTTATATGACCACTAAATAACCACAAGATTTGAGCCCATTTTTTATTTCTTGGTCGGTTGGCGAGAAAGGGTAGTCGCTTCTATCATCGAAGCCTTGAATTTAGTTCTTTGGACTTGGACAGAGTAAAATATTCATGGAAATCTACGTAGAAATTTTAGTATCAGCGGCTGGATTGAAGACGGTCACACTAAGGCGTTTAGTTACAATCTCAAGCTTAAGCTCCTTTGCTGTTTCAGTCTTTCATATCTTCGTCTTGCCTCAAGTTTGTGTAATTGGTTTTGTTCTAGTTCGTCGTGACCAGGGTGACACATGTTTGCAAGTGTTCTCTCGATGTTTGCCGAATATACAGTATGCGAGGGAATCACTCTCCGATGAACCTGCAGAAAAAAACAAGATTTTATCAACTGCGGAAGTTAATTTAAAAATGTAACGCTCTATCCTTTGAAACTAGTTACCAAGGGACTCTCCCGGTCTTTGCCCTTTCTACTGATTTTATCTCCCCTCCCCTCCCCCTTTTCTTATCATATGTTAGGGCATGGACGGGGCAACTTGCCACCGGGCATTCATCTCGATGGAGGAAACGCGAAACTCCGTTACGCGAACGTCCGCAGATGTGAGAAGAGAAAAAAGATAGCCTTCTCCTCAAAAGAGATACCTAGGAACCGGAAGAGGCCATCAATTCAGGTTATGGACGAGAGTAAGACCCACAGACGTTTTTGCCCCGCATTTGGCACTACGACTATTTTCGTCTGATTGACATGATGAGGAAATGCTTTTTCGTTGAAGTCCACTAGTAACTATAGACATAATTAAATCTCCAACCTACCTGTAGAGCATCCCTAAGATCCATAAGAGAAATTGGAGGTTTAGCTGTTCCCGTACTATCACTGCTGGCAACTGTGACCGCTGCCTCAGCTTCGGCTTGCTCCAACGTTCGACCACTGTTGCTACTACTGCTGGCAGCACCATTAACACAGCCTAAAGATCTGAACCAACACAAGATAAATATGTGGGTGAGTCTAAACTAGTTTCTTGACAATATTGGCAGTACCGGACCTCAAAACGCGAAGCAATTCTTTTACGAATATCAGAGTCGAAAAGCAGGCTCTCATTAGGGTTGTCTTATAAGCATGAGAGGTCCTACAGGAGCTTGCAAGTGTCTAGGCTCGAAAGTCATGCCAGACCCCACACACAACTCTCGCACGCTTGATTCGCGAGGCAACACGAGTCTTGTGGCCCTCGCCGCTCGTGCCACAGCGTTAATGAGAGCTAGTAGCATTTTTCAGACTCTACTTTCACCGCTCTTTTTTGTTCGTAGTCGATTCCACAGCGAAGTTTTTCTCTCCCCGAACCCATGCCCTTCCCCTGTTTTTCGCGCACGCTGTTTCGCTTGTTTCCGCCAACCAAAAGCTGGAAAGCTTAGCGCGGGCTCACTTCTCGTGGGCTCACATGCCTAGTTTTTTGCTTGCTTTTTAACTATAACTTTTCTTTCTCGCTTCTCAACTGATAGAAAAGCCTGGATAAACTTTCCGCGAGGAAAAGCAAAAAAAAATTCCATCGTTTGATAGGGAAAAAATTGTTTATTTCTTAGTACATCCTGATTGATTCGTAAACTCTACAAAAATCGATTTCAACTTGTATTTTGCTGTTCATGCTGAAGTTCTGTTGCTATCTTCATCTCCCTTCCGTTGTTTTCCTTCTTCGTGTAAAAATCTTAGAGTTGAGAAGTCATAGAAACCATTTTCCTGAGTAAGAAGAACATAAAAACCCACATTGTTCGTTCTTATTTTCTTTCTTTCAGTTCAGTCAGTACCTCCCCTTCCCCAATACTGAGCCAAGACTTAGAAGTATGGTTGCGTTAACTTGAACAGTCCATATACAGCTACTGCATCAAACACCAATGAACAGCCAATCTTCACATAGCGACAGACGCGACCAGTTAATGTGTCCCGCTCAGCGTTTCTGGTCGGTTCAGGCCCCTTCTCGTCTGCCGCCGTTGTCTCTTCTCTGACTTTCATTCTCTTCCGTTTACCCGTCATTTCTTGGACAGCAAAATACAAGTTGGCTTGGAAGACGGCATCTCTTTTTGCTATCTCTTTTTTGGCCTGAGCTTCCAGTTGAATTCTCTCAACGTCTTGTTTCGCTCGCTGGCACATCTCCTCGACTTTGTCCAAGTCGTCAAAGTACTTGTCTGCACGCTGCTTGAGTTCACGGAATTCTCTTTCACATTTGCCAACAAAACTTTTAGCTTTATAGGAAAGACTCCGCGAAGATTCCTGTCTGCTTTTAATCGAAGTTGAAGCCATTTTTCGCTATGGAAACTTGCCCAAAACGCTTTTTCTGTAACAAAACTGGCAACTTGAAGGTCGCTGATAGAAAGTTGTGTCCTTTGCGTACGCTAACTTTTCTGCAACTAACGTAACAATGGCCTTTTTTCCTTTGTTGTCAAAGCGCGCGCTTTTACAGGGAGGAAACGCTCGCGCTCAACTGCATGTTTTGCGTATTGCAGAGGAGGCGGCGGTTTCCATGGTCAGCCCGCTGGTCTTCGAAAGGCCTGGGTTAAAACTCTCATCGGGTCATGGCAACGGGTCTTACCGCCCGTAAGTTGATTCGCCCGGAAGTCGATTCACATGAAATGATTGTGACTGAGGACTACGGTTTATTTATTATGACGCGTCCCGCGCCGCTCGTGCAATCCCATCGAAAATCACAGTGAAAACTGACGTGTGTAGGGCCGAACAGTTTAACGCGAACTACGACCCCTGCGCGAGAAAAAAAATAACCCGGGGCTTCATTCGCCAGCTTTCCGTATCCAGTGTGTTCGCTTCTTCACCCACATAGAGTATCATCTTATGTGGTAAATGAAAAAGGTAATAATTCGATTAAAGAAATAAAACATCAGAATTTTCACCTAAGCTCGCCTTGAATTTGAAGTTAATTTTTTCAAAACCTTGCGAGCTGTCATTTCATGACTTCCACAAGACACAACGGGCTGAGACAATCATGAACCTTGGGGGGGGGGGATGGGGAGTAGCAAAACTAGAGAAAACAAGATAAACTTTGGCAAGTTAAACCATTAAACTCCCGTTCAAATTTAACCATTATGGCCTTTGAAAGTTTATACGTAGGGTGGTTGCTTGTGTAATTTCAGAACTGTTCTGGCCTCCTCTTATAGTCTCAAGAACTAGGGCTTAAGCAGAAGCAAGGCTGCTTTAAAATTTTCAACAATTCATAAAACCCACCGCCTAAGGAAATAATAAATGCCCTTAAAAAATTCACAATGCTTACCTTTCAGCACCTGGTGGCCAGGGACTGGTACTATTTCTGAGGTGCATCCTGGGGTAGGTCCCACCCATGGCATAGCGGAAATGTCCATCCCTGAGTCTAAAGTTGCTCCTCATTGAGCAGCAAACCGTCAAAATATCTTTCACTAAGTACTGATAAGAGAAAAAAATAATTGAATGTCATTCATTTAACCTGAATAGGAATGAGCATTGGGGGGTGTCTTGAGTTGGAGATGTTGATGATAGGGAAGAAAGATTGAAATTGCAGGTACTTAGAAGTTGAGAAATTTTTAAATGAGAACCAGTTTCCGCTTGAGTACATGTGTTTTTTCTCAACTGATACACTTCAAGCCCTTTTTTTTCAACATTATTTTGCTTCTTTGTGATATTTCTCTAAGAGGTAGTGTGGCTGAGTGGTTAGGGCATTGGTCTTGTTATCTGTTGGTGCCAGCCCTTCATTCCACTACTCACTGGATTTAATAGTGGTTGTCTTGAATTTGACAGCTTGGCTGCACTTTGTAATTAGCCAACTGGTCTGCCTCCTGCTAGTTTGGGGTCCTTAAACACTATTTTTATGTTTATTTAAAATTTTCAAAGAAATTAACTTCTTACCTACTCTGTAAATTCAAGATAAAATAAAATCAAGGTTTCTCTTCCAATATTTTAATTGGGCACAATAATATATTTCTTGGCTATTGTTAAATGATGTTTAATATAGAGTTTCTTTAATGATAGAAGTGCAAACCAAAACCACAGCTTCTCCCACATTCAACCATGAATGTAAAGAATGAGGAAACAAAGTAAAAGATTAAACCTTACTAAAGAAAAGAACATTGTGCACTCAACCTTTAACCTATTACACTAGGACAAATTTGCAGTGACATTCCAGTACCTCTGTGGCATGAAGCATTAGGTTCACTGTTTCATCCGCAACACTGTCCAACCCAGCATCCCAAGCACCAAGAAACAATCTGCCATATATGGTAGCAGAGTCCGGTAACATCAAGTCATATGAACAAAGACCAATCTCACTGTCTTCTGAAAGCTCTGTAAAAACACAGAATGCTTAACCCCTTAACTACCACAACTGATTGCCATGTAACTTCTCCCTATAGTCTCCATGCATTATACAGCAAACAAGTTGTGAGAATACTCAAACTCATCAGGTACAATTTATTACCTTGATTGAACACCTAATTCTTGAAATCAATTTACAAGGAAATGTGTGGTAGCTTCTCTGGAACTATTGTACATGTTTGCACTATAAAATATCCATATCATACTGCACAATATTTGCAACATCTTTTTTCATTTTCACAATTGTGATTAACCAAACTTTTGTGTATGGATCAAAAAATTATAATATTACAGACAAGGATCTCCCTTCATTTATGCACAACTGGTAAAAATGTTTTTAAATGGGTAGAACAATCTTTTATACGATAAATTTTCAAGAATTATAATAAATTCTAAGAAGTAAAAGAGGTACTTCAGGCAGTAAATTTTTCTGGTTACCACCAGAAAAGGAGAACACTTAGAAGAGAGGAGAACCCCAATAAATGAAGGTGAGATATCACATGCATAATTGCCCTGAGATTGCTGGAATTTATTCCCCTCAGCTTTTTGTCAACTTTCCCTGACAGTTCACAGGGACCCCATTAACACTCCTGGTTGACAAAAGGCACTGCAAGAGTAAAGTATTCTGCTAAACATCACCACACATCGAGCCCAGGGAGGGTGCTAACGCAGATGTCTGCATCCTCAACCACATCTCTGAGAACAGCATTTAGCTATAATCAACATATCTTGTATGTGCATTGACTTTTCATAATATTCTACTAAAAATCTAGCAATGTTTTAACAAATGGATACAGTATTTGCTATGATCATCATCATCATTATTATTATTATTGTTATTATTATCATTATCATGAGTGGTACTTACCCTATGTATGGGAAATTGCAACAACATCAGCCAAAGGAGAAAACATATTTAAAAAAAAAAAACAAACAAGAACATGTGGTTGGACCAATGAACAAAATGTGAATTAAGGACTGGTGCACATGTTGTAAATTTCAAATCAATTCATGAAAATCTCACCAAAACAATCAGAACAAAATTCACACTTTAATTTTCACTTAATACTCATTTGCATTTTTACTGGTTGAAATTTTACCTTCATCCTTACAAATGTAATGGACAATCTGTGAACATCTGAAAAAAATTTCCTTATCTCTTCTTTGTTTTTGATTTTTTTGAGAATACAGGCAACCCATGTAAAACAATGCATATTATGTCTAAGTTTCAATTTGTTTAAATTTCACTCACAGATGAAATAATAATCAATAATTATACTTGTGTTTCTGTTGCTCACAGCAATATATGAACAGGAACTACAATCAGTATCAAAACTAGTTGATATATCATGTTTGAAAAGTTCTGTCCATGTGCAGCATAACAATCCTGTTTCTACCACTCTCTAACCCCCCCTTCCCCATTCAATGTTACCTGTAAGTAGCTTAAAGTTAATAACATTGTTTTTTTTTTGGGGGGGGGGGTGTGCGGAGGGAAGGAGGGGGTGACTATGTTAAATAAATGGGGGTAAAAGAGAAAAAATTGAAGTGATAAGGGTTGGAAAGATCTGATTGTAAGTAGATGATCTGAATATGTTTAAACAAACCTTCAAAGACAGCTGTGGAGCATTCTGTAAAGGGTCACAAGGAGCAAATCTTTGCTGGTGATTAAAACAAAAATTAAAAATATTAGTCAACATCTATTCAATTGACTTTTCATTACTGTATTACCAAAAAGAGCATGGACAAGGATAGTATAGTGAAATATGAGGAAATGAGATTTTATTATGACCAGTGATACATTATCCCAAACAAAGACTTGAAAATCACTGTACCTCAAAATTGGCCCTTAACACTTTCTTTTGCTTCTTAATTTTTCCTTTCTTAATCAGCTGTGGTTTGGGAGGTAACTTCTGTGGAGTTTTTGGATGAGGTGCTACAAGACAGGAAGAAAATTAGATTGATTTCATCAATGTTTACTGCAAGATGATATGATAGATCTGAATGGCAATTTAACTCTGTTAGAATCAATTAAAAAGTCTTAATTTTCAGTGACTCACCTGGAGAAGATCCAAGGGCTTGACATTTTGCCAAAATGGCAAGAAGAAATTCATTATGGAAATGAACTACAAAAGAGAGAAGAAAGGAATTATCTTAAGACTGCAAAAATAAACCATAATCTCCCCTCCCACACACAGTCTCAGGCAGCTGGCATATCAAGCAATGACATCTATTGTTTTTCTTGCTCTTGAATTATAATGATCCATATGCTTAATACAAATTCATTTGATCAAGTAATTTTTTCTCCATAAGCTAATTTTTCCAGAGGACATGTCAAATGAGGTTGGATATGATGCTTGATACATTCTCTTCAATTTGTTCCACATAATACAATTACATTCCAGGCTTGTTTAATCCGATCATCTGATTAATGAGTTATATTTTAAAGTGTTTAAATTTTTTTTAGTTATAAGCCTAACTTAATAAAGAACTTGGAAAGTCATAGCAGAAAATTTAGTAACCATTTAACTCCCAGAAATCTTAATCTCTTAAATATCCACACTATATCCACTAAACAGGTGATGAGAAATCTCGAACTTATCAGGTAGAAGCTGTTGTCTTCATTTAACACCAAATTCTTGTGACTAATTTACCAGGAAATGTGTAACAGTTGGAGGGAAAATTAAACAATAAGATCATGGAAGTTGAAGGGTTGATATAATTTGTCAGGTGTGGCACAAAATGGATTTGTTTTGAAACAGTATCTTTTGTGAAAGTGTTGAGGAAACTAAAGATTTTAATCATTTGTAAATCGTGACGCTATTTACTTACGGTTATCATTCCCAAGACATTTCTTGGCTTGTGCATCAAAATCCTCCTTGGAAATCTGTGTAAAACAAACTCAAATTAAGAAAACATTATCCCACAAAAATTAATATGTGCTTATCAAAAGAAACATCCATTATCTCTGCCATGGTATCAGCAGGCAAAACTAAGAGGGGAATGTAAAATAGGTCCAAGGAGATTTAGAGGGGAGGGGGGCCTTGGGTCTGGGTTTCCTTCCCACCCTCTGACGGATATCATAAATGATCACAATAAAAACACCAATTTCTCTCGTTGATGTGGCCAGGTTTAACTTCTGCTCATAAATATTTCACTCTCAAAATCCTTTTGAACCTGATTTGCGCTCTAAATTGACAACTAGGGGTTGGTATAATATTTAACACTGGAGTTTCTACGCGACCAGCCAACGGTTCGCCATCACCGTCTTTCTACGCAAAGTTGAGAATAAGTAAAAAACATAAATACGTCTTGAGCCAGGAACACACTTTGAGGCTCTCTGTCGGAGGATAGTGCTGCCAAGCTTGACAGCCCATCACCTTGAGAGGGTAGATGTGAAAGTTCACAGTTACTAACCTTTTGTTTATACCAGAGCTTCATGTTGTTCCAGTACCTTAAAGATATAGGAAATCAAACATAGCAAAATTTTAATAATTGTTTAGCTACAAAAAATACAGAACAAATGATCATACGTTTGAGAGTAGTCCCCAAGAGCCTCTGAAAGTTGTCGGCGTGCAACACTCAAATCCACCGCCATCTTTGTTCTTATCGAAGTAACTTTGAGAGCGAAACCGCTGAGTAAGTATGGCTCAAGATAAGGAAGTGTAAATAGAAGACAACTACAACAACGTGATCAGAAGAAAATTCGAACTTTCTTGTATAATCAAAGATTTTCCTTAAATCTTCTGCAAATAGGGCTTATCTACTAAGTTCCGAGAGTTCCAGAGATGTCCTTAGATGCGCGCCTCGTCGTAGGAAGAAAAGGGGAACGAAGAAATTTCCCGCATTCGGATGCAACAGGAACAAATTACAGCAGCAACAACGATGATAGCTACAACAAAATGAGTAACTGTGAAATTCCAGTAAAAATGAATATTTTTTGTGCAGTATCAGGAGGACATGGGCTCCTGACAGAGTCAAAATTCCTCGGGCCCCCGGTCAGTCTAAGCAGTACCACCCCGGCTTATCACAGATATCTTTCTTTTTGCATCTTTCCCAAACCGCTTTTTTCAGAGCATTAAAAATCCTTTTTCAATTCTTTTTTTTTTTTTTTTTCGTTCTGCTTTTTTTTGTGGGAGGGGAAGGGAAGGGGCTGAGAGTGTATTCGCTAATTTTTTTCACTTTTTACCTCTTAACATTGCGTGACATACGGTTCTTCTGGGACTGATTAGTGACGTACACTTTCAACATACTCACAGATCGAGTTTCTATTTCGCTTCGGACGGATCTCTTTGTTGGCCACCGATGCGGTTTTAGCTAGTTATCGTGTTTACCAACAGTGATATTTCGCTTCGGGATATTTTTTGTCCTTCAAACTGTTTTGTTCTTCATTTTATGGGTCAGTTTATGCAGTACCCAGAATATCAGTGGATATCTTTATTTTTGCATCTTTCCCAAACCGGCTTTTTTCAGAGTATTAAAAATTCTTTTTTTTTTTTTTCGTTCTGTTCTTTCTGTGAGAGGGGGGAAAGGGGTGAGAGTGTATTCGCTAATTTGTTTAATTTTTACCGCTAAACATTGCGTGACATACGGTTCTTGGGTGATTAGTGACGTATACTGGTGCAAGTCCAAGTCAACATACCCACATATCGAGTTTCTATTTCGCTTCGGACAGATTTCGATGTTGGCCACCGATGCAGTTTTAGCTAGTTCTCGTGTTTACCAACAGTGATGTTTCGCTTCGGGATTTTTTTTGTCTTTCAAACTGCTTTGTTCTTAATTTGCGATAAGGCAGAGGCATCAGCCAACTCTACGCACTCTATGGGTGAGTAACAATGCACGCGGTTGCTTATATTGAATGTCTCAGTGCATAATCACAGAAAGCTGGCTGTTTGATATCAAATACACATGTATTCTAGTGTAAACTTACAAATCATAAGATCATTGCTATATTTTTCGCATCGCTTTAACGAGCAATCCTTTAAGTGAATCTCGTCTCCTGATTCTGTTCTTTACAATCGCAAACAAAAAGGCAAATCAAGCCAATCGACCTCCGCGGTTGTCTCAATAAGGAAGCGTCTGTCTTTTCAGTATGCTTTGAATGTAAGTAAGGGGCATTTCATTTCTGTCTTCCTCCCGCAGTGTCAAGTCACCATAAAGAAGTATGATTGAATTAAGCCGGAGTTTCTGGAGCATTTTTTCGGATTTGTTTGCTTTTCCATCTTGCCAAACATTGAAGTTCTATAAACCTTCGCAGAAAATTCCGCGTTGCTATGGGCAAGAGACTGCGCTAAAATGCTTTTGAGAAAATCGCTCCACGAATTTCCTCATTCAGGTTTATCAAACTCGGTCTCAAACATGTAAGTTATTCGATTCTTAGTAGTTTACGTTCACCTACTGAATTAACTTGAATTAAAATGCGTTCATAATGCGACGGGATAACCGGTGCAGAAAGAGAAGTGTTTGTTAGTTTCTTGTCGATGGTGACCTCGGAGCCATGCAATCATTTCTTTACAAAGATATTCTGACAGATATTCCTGTAAGAGACTGCATTATATGAGCATAGTGATCAGCCGCAGAAACCTTTCCTCACAAGTGCATCAGTATTCACAGAATAAATAAATCTTGGGTAGTTGCAGGAGCCCACTGCCCGTACATTATAGTAATGAGCTCCTGGTAGTTGTAAGAATCCACCGATTCACTACTATCACTCGTGGTATATCGGAAAGGAGACAAATTGAAAAATGGAACAAAATCGCAAAGTTTCGTAAATGTCTACCTCTTTTAACCAGTGGAAGTGGGTTTTTCCACCAGAGAGTTACACGTAGGCAATATTGATAATGATATCCCAGATATCTATGGATACAACAAATATTTTCCATACAAGTGACAGACAGGCGTCTTAAAACTTCGGATGATTAATAATAACCAGATTAAAAGCAGTCTTAAATTTATTTCATTATAGTTGTATATTGGGGCTGAACTTTTAGAGAATGCTACCATTGAGACTCTATTACCTTGGAAAATCATCGAGGATTATTTTCCAAATATAAGTTTCGAAAAAATGGTTTGTGTAATGCATTTTCCACCTGTTTCTCTAGCAGCCTTCACGCAAGCTCAAATAAAAACCGCTTTAAACTGACTTAGCTCGAGGAAGAGGTTTTCTTACAGGGTCTCCCGGAGAGATAAGTTGTAGGGGTAGAACTTGATTTTAATAAAGGAATTTAAAACGTGACTGCATCATGCTTGCTTTTTCAACAGCACTTTATTCCACGGGTACAGTACTGGCAACCATGACCGCTTCAACAGGTACACAACTCTAAAACGTCTTTTTTGATTTGTTCAAATACAAAAATAAAAATTCAGTCGAAGGATTCGGATAGAAACCAACCAGTGAGATGTTTCTAGCGTAAGGCGATTGAGATAGTGGAAACCGCAAACTAAACTGTTTACAACCCCAGTCACTTTCTAACCCAAGTGAGACTGTAAGACTTATCCTAGGAGATAGATAAAATCAAAGTTAGACAGAAGTGTATTCGATTTTTCATCCATTTCCTCTCTCAGTTTCAGTTGCCTCAACTGGCATAACACCGTCTTCAACATTTTCCGCAACCACAACGTCTGCGCCACCTGTGACCAACTCAACCACATCACAACCAACTGTGACTTACCCTACTGCGACCACAGCACCACCAACTACGACCACAGCACCACCAACTGCGACCACAGCACAACCACCATCTGGGGGAGAACAAGAAGCAGTGGTGTTGTATATATCGGACATGACAGAAGCTAAGGTCAGAGAAGAATTAACTATTGTAGGAAAAAAAAACAGACCTAAAAATATCGCACATGTTTTTGCCTTGCTATTTACTGTCTTAAAAGTAAATTTCGACTGTCGTAAAATTAAAACCAATCACGGTAATCACTTCAGCCAATCGGAACAAAAGAATTCGATGCATTCACTTCATTTCGAATAAAAGATGGCTTCTCCTGGTAAACTCATGCTCTTTAACACTTAAGAGTGCCTAGCACCTACGTTCTCCTTACAATGTCACCCCTGAATCAAACATTGCGGTCACAGGAATACAGAATATGATCATTAACTATGAAGCTTTGGAGCTTACCAGCTTGTCAGCACCTACGAAATGTATAGAGAACAGTATGGAGAATATGCATACTGATGTTAGGATGTAAAGGGTTAATTTAAAGTTTACAATAGTTTTCTCGATATTGCGTTCTTGTAGTTCGAAAAAAGAAGAGTTAATTTTACTGCCGCTGTGAAGAAAATTGTGGGAAGCTACTGCTCCAGTACACCGCAAAAATGTGACGAATCAAGTCCAGAGAGGTATGATGACGATGACATCATAACTTTTAGTTCAGTTTGACATTTTAACCACGCTACATTCCAATTGCAAGATGTTAAACATCTCTGACTAGTTGGCATGTTAGAGTGTTGATCGCTGATCAGTTTGCAAAGTTGTGCTCCGAAATCTGATTTAGAATCGTTAGCAATTTGGCATAGATGAGTAGGTATGAACCTGGAAAAGTAAACACGACTTTGTACTAGCAACGACTTGGTTAGCGTATTTCTTCCATTCAAGTTGGAATTTGTCTGCAAACTCACTGCTAAGTACATCAAGTTGAAGGCGAGTTGACCAAGACCATAAACTAGTTAATTAGGGGTAGTCGTTAGTAAGTTGGCTGAGGTTGTGAGTGTAAGTTTATGCGTAAGTGCGTAAGTGAATTTATGCGTCAATTCGTAGGCGAATTGACTTCTTCTCTTGTTGATGAGTGAGAACTTTGTTACTTTTTCTTATGCTGGTTTTTGTCTTCTGATTTAACTGCTAGTTATCAAGTTTACATAGTCCCTGGATACCCGATGGAGGACCCATACAGTCCTGGAGAGCTTCTAGTGGGGTTTTTTATCTCAGTAGGAGACGGCAAATTTTTATCGAAGAATGTGTTGTATACCATCGTCAAACAGTCTGAGAATAAAGAAACCCTCAATACCGCATTAGGATATCAAATCACTGGTGTGGCACGGCTGCATCTTGACTTCATGAAGCCAACAGAATTTGATGGGACATCGGGCAAGACAAAGCTATTATATTTTTATTTTGCTGCATTTTGTGGTGCTGTACTCTTAGCGGGGTTGTGTGTAGGCGTCACATGCTGGTAAGATATCAGATGTTATTATTATTATTACTTGAAGTGATGCAAAACCCTATCCTAAACATTTTCAATACTCGCAAGCATGACTATCGTTATCACTAAACAAAAAACGTGGGATCAGTCTTAAAGGAGCGCTTTTAACATGCCCTATCCCCAAGGTAATCGTTTACCCCGGCCTGTCTCCCTGAGGCAAGCGGCCAGGCTGCTAGAAACAAAATGCAGGATTCGAACACATTTGAAAATATTTTGTTTAAAGATTAGGGTTTTCTTTGGAATCCCAAACTGCGTTGTCATCATAAATTCATTTATACTTTTCAAAAGGCAGTGGTAAATCACGGATTGTAAATATATGGACTTGAGCAGGACAACACCTGGCTGTGGCTCTACCCTCCTTTGCAGTCGTTCTTTCGGCTATCACCTGCGCGACGATCTTGTGAAAGATTTGCGTGACATACCGAAAAGCGTCTCCGAAGGAGACTACGAAAGCTCTCGCCATATTGCTCTTTATCAAAAAAATAATGATAAAATAAAAAATAAATAAATAAATAAAAAATATATATATATTGCTCTTTATCAGCAGGGGCGTAGCTAGCCCATAGTTTTGTAGGCCCTAGAAGTCTTTTCTGCCCGCCTGACTTTTATAACAACTCTTTCAAGTTTGGGAACAAAAATTTAACTTTGCTAGGATACAGGCCAACAAGTCGAAAAGTTGGCCACGCCCGTGATCAGGATTGGAGGTTATAATGCTCAGATGTGACAATGTAACTTAGCTTTGCAATCATTAATTGTTTTCCTAGGTATGGCCTTAAAAAAGAGAAAGACGATGAAGTTCGTCCTTTGACCACAAGTAACATGCAACTCGTCGACAAATGATGAGGGCCGTAAAAGACGCCATCCCGCCATAGTGTTGAGGAAATCATTATAGGTGCAGAAGTTAACTGTGTCACCAATGATTCTGATGTACATTTGTAAATAAACTTCCCACGCTTTTTTGTATCTGTAAATAACTCGCTTTAAATGGCAGTTTTCTTAAAATGAAACTTTTTTACAGATAAATAGGAAGCAATAACTAATTTAGTCGAGTGCCACTGACCATACGATATTTTGAGAAATCTTTTGCGCTGTGCAAAACTTATAAAAGTATAGAAAAACGCCAAAGAGGCAGTGATAAACTAAGAAGGCGCAAGGATGGCTTAGGGATGTAGGCTTCATTTTTCAAGACCTCACAGGTCATGTCTCCGCCTCTTAAAGTCAATGTTTCTTACCTTCCATGTGAAATTTGCAACTCGGTAAGTTAGATGAAGATTGCTCTGAAAACGTATTGGTACAATTTTCCTTACTTTCATAATTTTATAGTCGACATGTTGGCAAAATTATCGTTTCCTTGCGGAAATGTTCAATTGACCAAAAGTCTTTTGAACTCTCTTGGGTTTGTCTTTCATATACTTGTAGTTAAGGGAAGGAAGGCCTTGGTTTTCAGTGCAATTTCGTAAAATTGTATTTGTATATAAATGTTCGAATTTTTTTATGTTTACACTATTGTGTTGTACACAACCCAGTATTTGTGAATTATTTCAGTTCATGAGATTTTTTCAGTTTATAATCTCCTGTTGGAATGGTTCAAGTGACCAGCCTCCCTAGTATTTGAAGAAAAGAAAGCGCATGCGTTATACTATATCCGCCTGATCTGTCAGACTGGCTTGATACACCAATGCGACGAGATCACTCAAAAAGATTCTTTGCTTATTACTTACTGAGCTGAAAGACATCCTGAGACACAACGTTTTTCGTTTTGTTACTTTTTTTTCCATTACAGTTTAACGAAGTCAAAGCCATGTATGTTTTATAAATCAATAATCCAGGCCGGCATAAATTTGTAGCGGTGAAAAAAATTAATAATTACAATAATGATGGCAGTAACTAATCAATAGTGCTTTTAGGGCTGTGAAAAAAAGAACTCCCATGGTAGTTAAAATCCCAGGGCTCGAACCACTGCGACCCAGTGTGCTCTCTTATTTCTAATCGCTGACTCAGTGCTTAAGCAGCTTATTGTGCCTATATTAAGAATAGGAAGTAAGCGAAAGAATGGTTGATTGTTTCCTACAGGGTGTTCATCACTTTCCTGAACCTCCTAAATGTTTTTTCATGAAGTCAATCATTCGACCAATCGACAGCTCAGCTATGGATTCGTTATAATTTCTGCTGTGCGGATTGGTGAAAGCGTGACCAGCTTCGTATTCATAGAATTCGTAATTCACGTCTCCGGCGTCCAGTTGTTGCCTGAGCTTGGTATATTCTGTAATGTTAGCTGTGTTGGATCGGTCTAATTTGCCAAAGTGACACTGCACCGGTATTTTAATGGTAGACATGTTTGCGAGCCGAGGATCAGGAATGCCATAAAACGGTGCAGCGGCAGATATTTCTGGCACAAGAGCTGCGGCGGCGAGTGATAAGGCGCCTCCCATGCAGAAGCCAGTAACACCAACTTTCCTGCAACCTTGTTTTAGAAGGTACTGTGCCGCACCTTTAATATCCTGGATGGCACCTGTGAAATGAATAACAACTGAATATCAACGCTCGACCAAAACTGCAAACCACATTCCCCTCTCAATGTCGAGTTTGTCGAGTTAGATAATGTCAAGTCGTCAAATTTTTCGCTAATCACATTGACAAAGAAGACAAAACGGCTGAGAAAACTCCTTTTAATGTCACGCGCGAGTCTCGCGAGTAATTTACGCAGCTGAGCTGAGCGACTATGCCTGAATATTTTACATTTCACGTTTGATCAGTTTCGAAACCAATGGTCAGTCAAGAGCATACATATGAAGGAAATGATATGCCACACTAGTAAATCGTCGTCTTCTAATCCGAGATAAATAGACGACCGCTCTAGTGCAAATATGGGTGCTCGTTGTGAATTAACTTACCCGCGTAATCCAAGTTGGTTACAAGATGGATCGCTTCTGTGCTGTTCTCAGCCACTATTCCCCGGTATAAATCAGGTACCATTGTCGTCATACTTCCCAAACCGGCTATATCTAACGCTTGTTGTTTTATCTGCTCGTTCATGCCCCACCATTCTTGGATGACAACAAGACATTTGTCTGGGTCTCGCATTGCTCCGTTCAGTGATCCGGGGCAATCACCGACAGGATTCAGCGAAGTAAAATTTACGGGTTCTTTCTGTACGTATGTCGAGTCGAACCTCATGTGCAGGTTTATCAAGACTGTTAGAAACCCTGGGAGTTCTTCCAGGAGTAACATGTTCGCCGTTACTTGCTGTTGTCAGTCGAAAAAGGTTGATAATCAAGCGATTATGTAACTAATCCTTGCTGCCAAGTGACTCAGCAAGTTTGTTCTAGTCACGCTTGATATACTGCGAGTTGAAGGGCCCGGAGCGCTCATATATGCTCATTTATGTGCTTAGTAATCAGCGAATATTGAATCACTCTGTCACGCAACATGAGACGCTTTATCAACATGTGAATAAACAAACATTCGTCAGATTGAGGCATTCCTGTATCTCCTTGGGTCGTATTAAAGAGATATACTTAACCATCGAATTCATGACAGTCACGCATAAACCTCACCTGCTTCTGAGTCACTGGGGCAAATCTGAGGACTGGTTTATCTTTTACATCCTTATATCAGTATGCTCATTCCGTCCTCTTCTCATAACTCACGGTACTGACAGGGATAATTGGTTCAACAATCAAGAGTTTCTTTGGGTTGGTGATCGTTTCCTATATTCTCACGACCTTACTATTTAAGAGGTGATACTTTAAGGAGAAATAGAAAGCTCATCACTCTTGAGGGTTAAAGGGTTAATAAGGAAGGAAAGATGAGAAGAGGAATATACAATGAAGAAAATAAAACGATAAGAATATGGAACAAGAAATTACATGAAATGCAACAGCGATGCAAACCGTTGCAAACGATGTTCTATTTTGCTCGAGGTTAGCCTTCATTCTAGTTCAAATAGTCCTTGCGGGCGTTTGATCCTTCAACCTTCTGACATCGGTAAAGACACCTAAAGATCATTCATGGCTGTAACACTACGTACCTACGCTTACAATTGACGTAACCACTACATTACTCCTTTGTTAAAACTAAGTAATTCCCTTCAGAACCCTCACGCAAAACACGATGGCTACACAAATGTTTAACAGCTCGTATAAATATTCTATCCATTTTAATAATAAAGACCTTTCTCGCAAATCGCTTAAACGAGAGAATACAGCCGTGTGTGTCAGTGTATTACGATAACATTTTTATCATAAGGTAAATGGCGATCGTAATATAACTTCATCTTAAGATGCGATTATTTAAAAGCAGCAAGGTTAAAATTGATTTCCTAAATTGAACAAGCAGTTTGTAGATAATTTTGTTAATATTTGTAAACTCAAAATTTCTGGCAGAAAAGTTAAAAAATCATGGAACCAGTGTGGTCTGCAGCAGACAAGCCAGAGAGAATAAGAAGGGATAAGAAAGGAAAGAAAGAAGGAAAGCATATAAAAAGAGAAAACAGGATAAAAATGGAGAGAAAAGATTAACCCTTTAACTCCCAAAAGTTATTAACATTAAACTTCTCCTTACAATATCCATACATTCTTCAGCAAAAAGGTAATGAGAATATTCAAACTTATCAGGTAGAAGCTGCTGTCTTGATCTAGCACCAAGTTCTCATAACTAATTTACAAGGAAATGTGTAGCAGCTACAGAGGAGAATTGACAATCAGATCTTGGGAGTTAAAGGGTTAAGCAGATTTTAAATCATATGGAGAGATTAGACGCCATTTCCAAGCAACTTCTGAATTTCATGCCTCTTGTAAAATTTTAAAGTTAAAAACTAACGATCAAAGGAAAGGTCGAGAAATTATTTCTCAGCAAGACTCCCTAGCAACAGATCAGATAAAAGTTTATCTTAAGGGACAAAAAGCCTAAACAAAAAAATACATATTTACAACAATATAATATGATCAAGCACGATCTTGCATAATATTTTACTCCCATGGAAAATTTATATGCGATGAATTTATATGCGATATTATCAGCCAATCAGCAAGTGACATTCCTACGCTCTCCACATGACAGTGATACGTCATCCAGTCCCCTAGCTTTTAGAGCGCTCAGATTGGGTTAGAAAAAGACGTCACAGTCATTCGTAACCTTCTCGGGTTACCCTTAGGTTATCCTCGTCAAAAATTGAAAAAAATAACCACAACAAAATGTTGACTCCAGCTTTAAAATTGCTGTCCATGACGGAATGTCTTAAAACATGAGAATTCATAAAAACAAAATTAAAGTTCGTACAATTATATCAAATCGAATAGTCCATATTAATGTTGCTAGACTTCCTATGCTATCACAGGCAGGAAAACCGCCTATATTTTCAAGCTTTTTCTCTCTGTCGTGTATTCTTCTCTTTTACTCTTATATCGCGTTTACATTATGCTCTCATTCGATATACATTTGCCCCAAATCAGACCATCGAGTATTCTATCTAACGCCAAGGTTCATTCTCAAGTGTTCGTACACAACATAACTTATACTGACTGCAGGCGCAACTTTCATAAAGTTAGGAGCCAGTCCCCTATAAAGTCCACGTGGTCCGTCTTCTTTTATAATGTTTTTAATTACTGAAACCATTGTATCTCCCCTGCCTGCAGTGCGGGAGCGCGCTGCAAAGAAAAGACGTTTCATATAAATGTTACAAAAAAAGAATGATTTAACATTATCTGGCTAAATATGTAATTGCCGATGTCTGTAACGAAACCGCATGGGATAGCTAGCGGGGTTTATCTCGGTTTGTGTTATGAAGCAACAGGGAGTAGTACCGCTCTACCTGGATGGTACTCTGGTCCATCGCTGGTATCTCAGCAAATCCTCAAGTTTCCCTGACAGCTCACGGTACCGGTGCATACTACTGGGATGACGCACTAGTAGAGGAGAGTGCCAAGAAAATGACCCCCGCCAAGTTCCAGCCTAAGATCCAGTTGTATAAAGGGTGGATTACGCTATCCAACCGATAAATCACTATTTAGCGGATAAGTGATGGCAAAACGTACTGCACTATCCACCGGATAAAGATTTATATAGTGGATAGCGTTATCCAACCTTCAAACAGCCGTGGCCTAAACTTAAGCGCATAGCCCAAAAGGCCACCGCTCTAAGAGGCGCTGCGGCACGAGTGGCGAAGCCTGTGATGTCTAGCATTTCGTAGTTGACCCCTCTCGCAGCCATCGCCACTCGTGCCGCAGCGCAAACGAGACCTTGCTATCAGGCTACACCTCATTCAAATGGGAACAGCGGTCAAACGTCGGGCATGCGCGAGGAAATCAAATCTAGCCGTTAGCGCGCCAATTTCTTACGCAAAGTTTGAAACTAAAACAAGCAAATGACAATTGAAACATTTATGGAAATCTTTACAAGGAAACACAGAGACGAAAAGGAGTACTTGAGACTTTGAACAGAAAGTATATTCAAGTAGGGATATCCTATTGATTTGGCATTCTATTTTGAGTTCCTCGTAAGGAGAGACAATTTAGCAACAACCTAAAAACACGTCACCAATTAATCACAACATTCACACATGCGCAGACGTTTGGCCATTGCTCTCTGCCCTCTCTCTACCATCAACCCCCATCACTGTTTTTAAGTACATTGCAACAGCACGTAGCTTCATACCTTGCGCTTGTAATTTGGTCCTCACTAATGACAACGGATAACTAGCTAACTGACCACACGTGCTGGACGCTGTACCACACGCTAACAATAAAAACACCCCTGGGTCGGCTGACTGGTTTTTGTGGTAGTTGAGGTAAAAGTTTTTGAGCGTCTGAAAAAAAAGACAATGACGATAAAAGGTTATTCAACTGTTTCAACTCAGAAAAATGAACGCGCTAATGCAGCGCGGGTTTAAAGTGTAACTGAACACATAGGAGGCAATGAACCAAGAAGGAAAATTAAGATTAACCTCGTATACAGCAAGATCTATTCCAGCATAGGGAATGATTCCTAAAAGACTCGGAAACAGCCCTCGATAAAAACTCCTGATTCCTTCAGTAGTAAAGATGACATATGCCGCATCGACAAGACCCTTGTACTGTCCTGTCTTACGAAGCGCCAGTCTTGTTTTCAACACCTATAAACCAATAAGGGCATTGATAAGAACATTACACCTACACGTGGCCGCCTTCTCATGAAACGTAAGAAATAAGGAGTTGGTCAGCAAAATAGCCACAATGAACAACACCTCAAATTGTTTGTTCTTTTTACTTTTTTTCTGAATGAAAAGACAAACGTTGGGATATTTGAGGTGGCTCCATGTTAAAAATGAGATTTCGTCCTGATGGTTACCAAAGGCACTATTTGCACTAATTTCTTGGAATTGCGTTTCAAATGTAAACTAGGCATGCACTGCTTTTCGTGTGACTCTACTCTGTGATAAGTTAAAAACTAAACTTTATTTAATCTAAGTTCTCGTTGATCCCTAAAAAGCGTCAAAAAGAAAGGCTAGAGGATTACTCATTTCCAACTGCTCATTTTCTTAACCCTTCTATTCTCAGGCTCCTCCCTTTTTCTTTGACAACTTGTCATCATTTATTGAAAAATTCTAAGACAGATTTTCATAATTTATTTTTACAACTATTTCAAGAAGTTTCATTCCTTGATCGCGCTGGTTTAAGTACCTCCAGTGGGTATATACTTGTCTGTGAAGCTACTCCAGCCATTGAACCTGCCATAAGTCTTTCTCTGACCCCCAGCTGCTTTTCATCTGCACCCAACAGCTTCTTTGCCTGAAGAACAAACAATCCCAGCGTGAACAACATATTGTACCAAATGACGGAATATGAACGATTTTAGAAGGTTTTTTAAGCCTAAAAACTGCCAGAAAAATTATGGCAGATAAAGATCCTTCGGCAGGTCTTAGGAAAGACCTAAAGATTCTTTTAAACCCTAGGATCAGTATGAATATTCTCCCTACTGTTCTCTATACATTTCTTATGGTACGGACAAGGAGAATTTGTTCAACAATCACAAGCTTCTCTCGTGGTTGATCATTTCCCTTATTCTCATGGCCTTTATGTTTGATTCAACAGTGATACTGAAGGGAGAAATACAATGCCAATCACTCTTAGGTGTTAAAGGGTTAACACAAAACTTTCAATGTTCTGGTGTCTCTTATTAACTGAAACATACCCTTTCATAAGCAAAGAATTTTATGGCTGATTCTGGTGCAATTTTGACCACATTAGCACCATTTCCTCTCCAAAGTGATTTGATTCCACCTTCCTTGATCATCATGGAAAAACCAGAAGAAATTCCTATTCTATTTTGGCTTGATGCTTGTACCTGGAATAAAACAAAATTTTACCACTTTAATAATCTGTCTGCAACCATTTGACTTATTGTTATTGTGAAAAACGAGAAAGCACAAAGCATTCATTAATTGTTCCTTCCCTTCCAATCTAGTCAAACACCTTACTTAGATAGTCAGTAAGATTAGTAAGCAGACTGTTATTATTTCTGCTGGCCAGCACTCCCTGATAAAAATGTAGTCATGTGTATCACCTGTACATGATGACCCCTTCAATTTTAGATACTTGCCTGTAATAAAACTTTTAATCTGTCCAAAGGAGCAGTCGATGTCCTTGACACTGAAATGAAACAAATTTAAAAGGGTTAGCACTAAGCTTGTTGTAATCTGAAAAGCATCCTTGCAAAAAAAAAAAAAAATTGTAATAAATTAAAAAAAACAAAAACAACTTTGGGCTAGCTGGATTGGAGATAACTGCAAGCTAACCAGGATGCATTTAAAGGAGTTGACCCTTACATCACTACCCAGATTCTCCATTCTGTTCTCCATACATCTCTCATAGTTCTGATGAAGAGAATTTGTTGAGCAATCAAGAGCTTCTTTAGTTTCCCATCATTACTTTTATTTGTACCATCTTAGACGTTTAATTCAATATTTTCAACTCAAAATTCCTTGACTGAAAGGCATGATCTAGACAAGCCCTAGTTTCACTAACCAACTCCTGCTCCTCCCCCTGCCACCAGCTGTCTCCACCACATTCCTGACACTTTTTCCTCCTCAGTGAATTCATCTGGAACAGTCATATCCTCCCCAATATCAATAACCTGAGGACATCAAAGATAAATGATACATATTGAAAAAACTAACAAAGACGATTAATATCTAAAACAGAAAAGCCACAGAATATAAGTATTCAGGGGAATCTAACACAAATATTGAAAAAATTCAAATGAAGTTGCTTTATTTGGGTTGAAAAAAGGTGTTGAAACACAAATTAACTGCAGGGTCTACAAACCTAAACCATTATAACCTGGTCACTCACAGAACTGATCAACATTTTTCTTTCGACAAAATTAACACATTGTTACAGAGACCAGCAAAGTATAGGTCTGGAGCAAACATCAAAATTCATAGCAGGCAGATGTTGGGAGAGATCATAAAAAGATCATGAAAATGAAAAGGTCAAAGTCACTTACATTAGAATGTCTCCAGAACTGAATGATGTCATGCATACTATGGCCGCTGGGATTCAACAGGTGATATTCTCTCCATTCTTTCCAGTTAACTTTAAGGGTTTTGTCCTTGTCCATGCTGACAATTTTAAAAGGTAAAGTGTTTCTACAGTACATTAATAAAAACTATACACTACAGCTTGATCTTCCAGGTAAGGGTAGCCTTGAAGAGGATTTTTTTAAATGACACATGACTGTAATGATGAATTTTAAGAGAGTCCAAATGTCTCTCACAGCATCTGTCAACAAAACTGTTGTTCAGCTCTACCCTCATCCAGACAACAAGGGTTTCAGTAAAAGCTGGTTACTGACAGTTTACCCCTGCTTCTATAAGACCACTTATTGTTGCCTGTTTAGCCTGCCAGACAGCTCTTCTGTTTTGGTTTTGCCTTTTGGCACATTCTCTGTACCCATTCTCTGGGTACAGTTGCCTATTACACCATCGGAAGCAGCTTATGGAATAAAGTATCGAGACCCCTAGACCAATTACAAGCCACGACTGGATGTTACTCAAGACATGTGCCTCCTACAACAGAAATGCATCTCTGAAGTTTTAAAAGCTGGGGAAATTTTTGTATTTCACTAGTTTGAAAAAAGTTTAGACAGTTTTGATACCATGAATGTCAATATTTTTCATAACAATATCACAGAGTATCTGTATTATTCAACCTTTCTTCACTTGAAACTATCTGTGCATCTTTTGAGCCAAAATAAAAAAAAATAAACTGCCCAGGGGGGTACTTATATTTTCTACTAGATTAGTGACTAAAATAAATAATACTGTCAATAAATGTTTTACCTTTTCAATAACAAATCCACTTCCTGGTCTGTTACCTTAACATCCACGGCCTCAAAAGCTTTCTTAAGTTCTGTTTTATCCACACATCCTGACCAGCAGACAATAAGTCCAATGACACCTTTGCCTTTATATAAATACCTCTTACTAACTCAGTTTGAGGTCTATACTTTAAGTTACAGACCAAGTTTTTCCCAATAAGATTTATAGCCCAGGGTGAAGCGAAACAAGGTCCTGTAACTTACAGTATAGACCAAGAAAACAAGGTTAGTCAGATATTTATCACATCTCTAGATTCAAATAGAGGGGGAGGATTTAAATTAAAAGAAAACTCTGAATTTAGCAGGCTGTATAGTGAAATATAGCCTGCTAAATTGACTGAGATATATAATGAACATTACCTTGCCTTTGCACTTAATATATGGGAGTTGCATCACAGTTAATGCATCCTAAAAATTTTCCCTCAAATCAGGCTTTTCATTAAGAAATGTTGCAGCAGGGAAAAAGTGTTAACTTATAGGAGAATATTCCCTGTGTCTGAATTAAAAAAATAATTCAGGCCATTGGAATTTAGTTGGAAATTTGCCATTATGATAATAGAATTCTCTGATGTTCCATGTCAAAAAAGCATATTGCTAAATGCAAATGTCTCAAGTTCATTAACTACAGCCCATGTTAATCCTTGACTACCCTGTTCCTTATTTGTTTCTTCCTTTAGTCGAAAATGACACTAAAAACATTTTCTTGAAGTTTCCTTCAGTCTGTAGAAGAACAGTATTATTCTCAATTACCCTAAGAAGGCCAAATTATATTGTGATGTAGCTCCAAAAATTATACATCAATACTGAAGAGAAAATCAGATTTCTTAATTTTTTTTCTCTTGCACCCAAAATTTTAGTAAAAAGATAAAATGTGAAGACTGAAGAAATCATATTGACCCATTTTAGAGACAAACCATTCATTTGTAATACAAAAAGGTCTCTTTCCCTAGGATTTCTAATCTCTTTTAGACTCCTAAAATTAACAATTAATTTATAGATATTGGTTACCACTGCCATCTTGATCAATAGACTGGAAAACTATCCACAATTTTTTCTGATGGTCAGTCACATATTTGACGAACTCTTCAAATGACATCTGCCCATCAAGGTTCTGATCGCCAAGGTTCATAATTTGCTGAAATGGACATCACAAAACATGCTGTAAGCCTTATTCTCTAAAAGCCAAGAAACACGTTAAAAACAAAAGAATAAAGAAAGGAAAGTAAATTGTATTTACTGGAAAAGTATTTTAGATTGGTGTAACTACCAGTAAATTGAAAAAAGATAAGATCAAAATTTTAATTCAGTCACTTTTTTGGTCTATACAATCTAGTTTTCATACGAGACAAGTGTCCACAACACCCCAACCTTTCCAGAGCATCTGAGTAGGATAAGCTTTGATCAATCATTTTGGAGATCATTTCATAATGGTAATCTATATTAGCTAAGAGGACAAATATAATTAGAGCAATCACAAGAACAAGTGATTCCACTGGATTTCAATACTAGATTAGCTGTCAAGTGGTCTGTATAGCTACCTGAGTTTTTTCAAATACTTTCTCCCAATTCTTATTTAACTATGTAGTCATAACAATTTGTTTTTTCCTATGATTTTTTCCTTGTAATTTTCTGCCAAACTGTAGGCAACACAGATGAAAAGATGATAATGCTGACCATAAAAGTTAAAAAAAAACAGTCCACAGGGGCTCTGTTATTTAGTAGCAGCAAAATTTGCTGATATAAGTTGATGATAGTAACAAGATTCCAGCCCTATTTTACAAGTTTGAGAGAAACTCTCATCAGATAATGGGAGTGAAGGAGAATTTATTAAATGGAGAATAAACAGTACCAGAAAAAGTGTGGGCAACAGATTAAATTGCTCAATGGTTTGGTTATGAACTTCAAGATTTAATTTCAATCACTTTCAAACCTTCATTGTTTGCTTGCATGCTTCTAACATTTTTCTGCATTGTTAATTAATTAATTTTGTCTCTAATAAAGAGGAGACAAGGGAGAAAACCTAAACCATACGTTTTTGGATAGCATGAATTCTTGCCATATAAAATCACAAACCACTAAATTCAATAGTTGAGAACTTGTAATCTCCATTTAACTATAAATTATGACAATTGATAGAATTGGAAATGTGTCTAAAAAATATCAAAAAGAATCCTAACATTCTTGACACTACAATTACCCGCACATATACTCAGAAAAAAAATCGTTGCAGGTAAACAGGAAAATTCAAAATATGTATCAAGTAGAAGTAAATTTGCATATTTTCTGACAAATAGGTATGTCATAAAATTGTAAGTCTGCAGCAGAATTTACTCCCACAAGCTTAAATTGTCTTTATAGGAAACATTTCTAGGACAGTGTAAAACAATCTACAAGAATAAAACATGCAGTTCAGAGATGTTATCCTTCGTTAATTGTGTACATAACGCGAGTGTAAATTTTCCTTCATGTTAAATGACGTGAAATGTACAAACATGTTAAATAAGGAAATTTCCATTTGCAACTCTATTTGAATTAAAGTGCAGGGAATCATACAAAATCAATAATAGCTACACCTTTTTGGAAAATTAAGGTAAAGGCTAATTTACTTGAATTCAAGCGTGGAATAGTCAAGGATCGTACAGATTTATTTCTACCGGTGAGGTAAATTTTCGGGCTGTTCGATAGTTACCCATAAATCGACACTAATCGATCAAAAACGAAACATTGTACATTCTGTACGAAATTAAAGGGCAAACTTCTTGATTATCACCTTTTTTACCGCACACCATGATTTCAACTGGGCACAAAATTATTCAAATTGAGCGAAGCAATTTACATCCCAAACGACCCAACTTAAAACCAATATTTAGTGTGCGCAAATACACAGATTGCATTTATGACCAGTGAAATTCGTATCTATGCCTTAAGGCGACAAAAAAGGAAGATGGAATAAAAACAGAAATGTTTCAAAGTTATTCTAGACAAAATATTCTTTGGCGTCAATTTTGCTGGCTGTTTTTATTATAATTTGTACACACCTGAGCTTGGCCGGCCTTGTATCTTGAACCATGCAGATTTTTCAGTCCTTCCGCAAGTTCATTTAGGTCAATCCTTCCATCATTGTTCTTGTCGAGCTTCTTAAACAAATCCTCCACTTCTTCGTGATCCATTTGATAGCTTTTGTCGTGATTGTTATCTAATCCACCCCCATTCAAATCCATGTTTACAACTTCGAAACCATGATGGTGGTGGCTGTGAAGCTCGGGCTCCGTGGCCAGGCCTTGACACATCTTAATTTGATCAAGAAATCTGAGCAGATACTTACAGACTTTCCATTTCGCAATTAAAAGTCACGAAGAAAAGCTTTTAACTGCCTTTAACAAGGCAAAGTATATCGTGCTTAAAATAATCCAAAACGGGGAGGACATACAAAGATTTCATATGGATGATTTATGAGAAAGGAAGCGGTAAGTACTTTAAGTACCGTCATTATTGTATATCGTCGTTAGACTCTCTCAGGAGCCCACTATGGGTAACGGGCTCATGACACTCTCTTAATTCTATATCGCTCGTATGGTTTATACCACGTCATTGAACCAGTGAGAAAAGTCAGCAACAATCGGAGAATTAGTGGTGGATCCAGACCTTGAGCTAAGGGAGGGGGGGAGGGCGGTTTTTTTGTCGCTTGCCTTTTACCGGCTTTTCTTCCTTCTTTTAATAAAGGGGGTAAGTTTCTAAAGAAACTTTGGTGCTGCGTCGGTGGAAGAGTAAAGCAGGTAATTTAGTGTTAACAACTGAGTTGAAAACGTATGGCCACCGTAAAGATTTAAAAGGCTGACGTTTCGAGCGTTAGCCCTTCCTCAGAGCGATTGACGAAGGGCTAACGCTCGAAACGTCAGCCCTTTAACTCTTTATGGTGACCAATTTACGTTTTTCAACTCAGTTGTTAACACTAAATTACCTGCTTTTTCTTTTTACCCAAAATATGCGGGGGGGGGGAGCCCCCCGGGCCCCTCCCCTAGATCCGCCACTGAGATTGCCTGGGAAGTGGAAATCAGTAGTCTCCTTCGTAGCTATTATTTGGATGTCACCAGGAGCTCATAACTGGTTTACTAGTGTCACGCAATGTATCCCACGAAAGCATCTGAGGGGGTTTTGCGTGACATATCAAGGAATGGCTTTAAGGGGATCGGAGGATATTTTTGTACCCGCTCATCTGTAACTGCCTTGAACAGGGTATCGTAATGATCTATATTTTCTCAAACATTTGAATTATTTAACTGATGTATTTCTTCTTTCATTTTGAAGGACTGAGTCCCTTAAGACTTGTGCTAATTTCTTTTAAATAAAGACCGGACTGACAAGTTAGTGACTGGATTCGATGAACAGTGCCCCGGGAAAAATATCAGCTTCGTGATTGGCCAAAATCTTGAACTTGTAGCCAGTCTTTCTTGTTATTGAACGCCTGACTCCTTCTAGGCAGAGAGTGGTGTTTTCGTGTTTTACAATGCGCTTTTCGTATACATGGTGTGGTTGAGATTCTACGTGTACAAATATTAACTGCAGTTTGATTTCAAGCGAAAGATGTGGCGCCTGGCGAAGGTTTTGAAAGATACGCGACAGGTCGCCCTAAATCGTTCTACCTCGTGCCTTTGGAAAGCTACTCGCAATGAATCTAGCACGTCTAAAGATTCAGATGTGAAAGAAGTTCCCTACAATACATTGCAGGTAATGCCGTGTAATCGCTATAACTCAATCTTCATTGTTATTTTGATGAACAGCATCAGACATTAAACAAATTTTTTTGACGGTCTTACAGAAATGCAATGAGCCCGAGTTGAATAATTATTAATTTTGATATACAATTTCTTGTCTACGTTATAATTTTCACAAGGCTACTAAAAATTAGGACACTCACATATTTAAATATGAAAGTGATCCTCGCAGTAATGAACCCTAATTGAACAGTAGTGAAAATAAGGCCTGAAGAAAAATTCAGGCCTGTAAGGGTTTTGAACCCATGATCCTTACAATAGCTAGTTACTAGGTTGGTTCCAAATCAACCCCTGAAGTTATGAATGAATGATCGTAAATATATGAAAATCATGCATGTGACTGCGGATAAAGACGTAAATATAAAAGCGATCTTCGCAGTGATGAGCACTACTTGAGTAATAGTGAAAATAAGGCCTGAAAAAAAATTCAAGAATTTTTTTTCAGGCCTTATTTTCTCTTCTTCTCAAATAGTATTCATTACTCCGACGATCGCTTTCGCACTTACGTCCATATCCGCAATTCACAAATATGATTTTTAGATATTCACAGCCATAACATTCACATATACAAATGATTTGGTGAAAAAAACCAATAACCTTGCTACATGCGACTCTTCAGCTTGAGTGAAATGCGAATATCATCGTTTAGTTTACAATAAGATACAATTGTATTTTATTGTAATTAGTTTACAATAAGATGCATTAAAAAAATTAGTCAGTTCTGATTGGTTAGGATAAATGCAGTTTCCAGGTTATATGATGCAGATGAGGGTTAATTCAGTGCAAAGAAGTAACAAACCAGACTGAACAATTCCTTGAGTTAGCGAGACTCTGCTTTTTTGCGTGTTAAAGATGTGAAATATCATTGTATATTATTGTTTTGATCATAGGTGGTTTTTTTGACTAAACACACAGGTTTGAATAAATTATTTTTGCACTTGATGCCCACACTTTACTTCCGCATAACTATGATAACCTGTCAAATTTGTTTATGTGTATTATTAATATGTAATCACATGATTTTCTTGTGCAATTTGGAATAAATAAGCACATGTTGATTTCTTCAAAGATTACAAATTGCACTTGACCCACAGGCTGGTGCAATTTTGTTAGTCTTTGAAAAAATTTTACTTGTACTTATTTAATCCAAATTGCACTTGAAATCATGTGATTACCTATACAAAGTATGGTAATCCATGTCTATGATAAGAGATCAATCGTTTGCATTTATTTTGATTCATTTCTGAATGAACTAGGCTTTATATTAAAGAACACAAACACGGCAATACTCATCGAACAAAATGTAATCATGCAATGGTCATACCAATTCAATGAAGTACAAGAATAGAGACTATTGGTGAGGTACATTTACATGTATGTCAAGTAGTCCTCTTCAGGAGTCAAAACAAGATCTCAATATTAATTCTCCTTACTGCCTGCAAACATCTCTTTTAATGCCAATAATTAGAATTTGCTATTGAATCAAACAACATCACCTAACTGATGTTTATCTTTACTCTTATCACCTTACTGCTTAACAATGTTTTTATATTGTAAGGAGAAATGACATTTTCATCTTTTTGGGGGGTAAATGAGATAAAACACAGATATTTCAGAAAATGTGTTGTCATGTATAGTTAATCATCTTAAGATGTATCATTTCAATATATCAAAAATCTTCATTATCAATGTGAAGCAAAGTGCAAAAATATTTCTTGTAAAGATAGGGTAATGAGCAAAGCATGTTGCATGGTGTGTTATCAACAGTCTTAAAGTCAGTGGTGTTCTCCTTTTCTGGCAGTAACTGGTAAAATTTACTGCTTGCAGTACCCTTTATTATTGCCTAAAATTGCATGGAGACCCTAAAAATCCAACAAGTAAAAGGATTGCTGTTCCAGTTTTAAAATTTTCCCAGCGAGTTGGTAGATTTAATTTTAATTGAAATGTAATTTTTTGAAAAGACAGAAGATAAGCGAGCTCCAGACAGCATCCCAGCAGAAGCTGATGTTGTTATTATTGGCGGAGGTTCTGTTGGATCCAGTACACTTTACCACTTGACCAAACTTGGGGTAAAAAATGCTGTCTTATTAGAGCGCGATCAGTTAACATCAGGAACAACCTGGCATAGTGCTGGGCTGGTTTGGAGGTTACGTCCTAGTGATGTGGAGGTGGAATTGTTGGCAGCCACAAGAGTGCTTGCAAGGGATGTCTTGGAACAAGAGACTGGACTTTGGGCTGGATGGAATGAAAATGGAGGATTGTTCATTGCCAACAACAAAGAAAGATTGGATGAATACAAGAGGCTGATGACAGTAAGTACCTCTCAGAGCAATTAGGAATTGATTGAGATACATCAATTTTTTTCCTTTACTTTGCTTCTGCATGATTGCTCTAAAAATGTGTACCAATATCCCATCCAATTAGATGTGATGTAATTAAAATAACTTTATCTAGATGGAGTAGCCCATTTAGGTTGAAAGCTGGTATCCATAAGAAGCCCTTACATGTAGGAATTACTTGCGCCTTGCACCTAGGAAAGTAATTTCATCATTGTTTTTGCTGTAGATTCTCAAGGGTTCCTTATATTCCTAGTTCTATTGGAATAAGCTACCTCCAAAGGCAATCACTTGCACAAAGTTGCATGCAGAAACATTGAAAATATCTATTTGAAGGAATAAAATTCCCTGAAGTCTTGGGAAGTCATAACTGAAAATAATTTACCTTAGTTAATAATAGCATTGCAAGGTTGTCAGCAACACTAACAGTATAAAACATTTTTGGAGGCAAACCAATTATCTCTTTACAAACTTAAGACCTCCTAGTGGCTTGTACACCATTTGGCTAAACTGCCTCTTTTGAAATAGAACCAGAAATGACAAATAATTTTTCATTATGGTTTCATAAACAGCTTGGCAAGGTATATGGTGTTGAATCATTTGTTCTGAGTCCTAAAGAATCCAAAGACCTTTATCCACTGCTGAATGTGGATGACTTATATGGAACCCTCCACAGCCCTGGTGATGGAACCATTGATCCTGCTAGCTGGGCTACTTCACTTACAAGAGCAGCTGTAAAGAATGGTGCTCAGGTATTGAATAATACTGTAAAAAATTTGAGTAGGCAAGAACATTTGACTGTATAGCTAAGCACTTATTTTCAGGTGAGACACTTTTATTAATTTTTCATGGACTTCCTTCAATACCATCACAGATTATGAGGAAGTTTCCAGCTGTTGCATCCAATCATGTTACATCATTTTATTGCATTTTTATAGTTATGAAAGTTGTGATAGTAAACTGTAGTCTTATTTGATGGGGATGAGGTCACCTGGAAACACGACAAATTGTTATTAATGTATCTCAGCAGGATGAATAATTACATTGTAATATGATACTAAAATCTTTTTAATTTGTAGGTGTTTGAGAACTGTGCTGTTACTGGAATTCAAACAGAAGTCAGTGACTTGGGAATTAAACGAGTTTCTGCGGTACAGACTCCGAGTGGTACCATCAAAACAAACTGTGTCGTCAACTGTGCAGGGGTGTGGTCACCATATGTTGGTTCTTTGTGTGGTGTCAGTGTCCCTCTGGTTGCCATGTACCATGCATATGTTGTGACAGAGAGGATTGAGGGAATTCAGAACATGCCTAATGTCAGAGATCATGATGCCTCAGTTTATCTCAAGCTCCAGGGAGATGGCCTGTCTGTTGGTGGATATGAGCATAATCCAGTTTTCTGGGATGAGGTAAAAAAGTTTTCATTTTATCATCAACAGCTTAATGGTTATGCCACAAAATTTGAATCAAAAGGGTTAAGCTCTTGCAAAAGTTACAGTGTAATTGAACTGGAATGGGTAGAATTTTGTCCTGTCAGTTATACTCAACCTACTAGAAGAACTTAGACTAAGCCATCTTCATTTGTGCTGGAAAGCATAGGGTGTGGACTGTGGATCTCCACCAGACCTTGTTTTTGGCTGTTCTCTTTGCTTCTCCCCAGGTGATTTTATTTTTGTCTAATTCATCTTGGACAGTGCACCTCCAAGACTGCTTTAGATGACATCCAAAGCAGTTTTGAAGGAGAACCATCCAATATTTAGAAGGACCTACTGACAATGTAATTTATAGATCTCTTTTTAAGCTTTGGGTTTTTTTTTTCAGGTCAGCAATAAATTTGCATTTTCCCTCTTTGATCTTGACTGGGATATATTCAGTGCTCATATTGAAGGTGCATGCAACAGAGTCCCAGTAATAGCAGAAACTGGTGTCAAATCCACTGTCTGTGGACCTGAATCATTTACTGCTGATCATAAACCATTGATGGGGGAAGCCCCTGAGCTTCGTGGCTTTTACCATGGCTGTGGATTCAATTCTGCAGGTATCATGCTTGCTGGAGGGTGTGGCCGAGAGTTGGCACATTGGGTGGTTCATGGTCACCCTGAACTTGATATGTATGGATATGATATCAGGTAACTACACACAATAATTAAACAATTCTAGAAGAAACAATCAAGGCTTGTTTGCACAAAATCTAGTTAACATTACTCCCAAAGTAAATGATTTCATTTACTCAGCAGATATTTCTATCCATTTGATTGAGTTCATAGTCTATAGAGTGCATTTTGAGCAAGTTTTAACCCTTTACATCTTAAAATAAGCATGCATATTCTCCACACTGTTCTTTATAAATTTCCTAAGGTGCTGACAAGGAGAATTTGTTTAACAATCAAGAACATTTTTGGTTGATGATTATTTTCCTTATTCTTGTGACCCTAATGTTTGATTCTTGGGTGATAATGTGAGGAGAAATTAGATGCTGGTCACTCTGAGGGGTCATAGGTTTGATACTTGTTGAAAAAAAAAACTGCCCTAGAACAAACTATAAACTACTTACCAAACAGATGTTTTCATTCTTAAAAATCCAGTGGTTGTCAAGTATAATCGACCAGTAACCTTCAAAAAACTGAAAGAAAGTGAATTCTAATGCCAATGTTTTAAGTCCTGATTATGAGTTGGTAGGAATTTTTATACATTCTTATATTTACCTCTTAAGGCGCTTCCATTCATCGATAACACCCAATCAGAAATGGCTCAGAGAAAGAAGTCATGAGTCCTATGCAAAGAACTATTCAATGCTTTTCCCACATGATGAGCCCCTTGCTTCCAGAAACATGCGATGTGATCCTTTTCATCAGGTAATGTGTATTTTGATCGTAATTCATACAAATCATGCAAACAATTAGATGGAAAACCAGCTGAGAAGAATTGGGGCCATGAATTTCCTTGGAGAATTTTGAACTTAGCAAATAATTTAATTTTAACTTTTTACTTTCTTACACTTTGCCTCATTTTATTCTTAAGGTATACCTTGTAAGATTTTGGCCTTTTTAAGCAATGGTGCAAGAATGGTAAAATAATATGAATGACAGCTGGAATATTTATAATTGGTGGTAGTAGTAAATGAGTAAGCAATCCCCTCTGAGGTTGAACTTTTGATTCCAGGTTCTGTTAGATAGAGGGTGTGTCTATCAGGAGCGTCATGGATGGGAAAGACCAGGCTGGTTTGTTCCTAGTGAAGTAGCTGAGGTGATCATAATTCTTTCTCAAATTAACCCTTTACATCCTAACATCAGAATGCATATTCTCCATACTGTTCTCTATAAATTTCCAAAGGTGCTGACAAGGAGTCTTTGTTTAAAAATCTAGAGCTTCTTTAGTTGGTGATCAGTAATGTTTCATTGAGGGGTGATTTTCTAAGGATAAATTAAATGCTAGTCACTCTCAGTGGTGAAAGGGTTAATGGACTAGGGAAGAGACTCCCATTCCGTAGTTGCAAAACAAGGCAAAACAAAAGGAAGTTAAGTTAAAAAGTTTGACTATGTTCATTTTGTTTCTATACCTTACATTCTTGTTTGAGGGGCAAAAGTAATCAGAATGCTTGTTGTTTGGAGAGATAAATGGCAGTGTGCCAGATGTGTAGAGATGACGAGCACCTTGAAAGTTATAGCACTTGAAACAGAAAGAATTACAAGCAATAACAAGATGTTTATGGGTTATCAAAAATATTTGGAAGAGTTTATTAAAATTTTTTTATGATCCATTATGCTCTGACAAATATGTGACATTGAGGACTAATGGGTAACATTTTTCACCTTCATCAAAATGCACTGGTAAAGGTCATTTCACTTGGCAAGGCTCTTCAACTGTCCAAATGCCTTACTCTCCCCATCTCT